GTTCAGTTCGCAGGCGTCGAGTGATTTGCTATTTTCATATTGTTCCAGATTGGCGTTTTGTTTGCCACTTGATTGTTGTTGTTGTTGTTGGCGCTGTCTGAGATTGGCCAGAGTCCGTGGCTTGGCCGCCTTTGTGGAGCACTGGGTCAGCAACAGCAACAGCAGCAACAGCGGCCGCAGCAGCGTCTAAAAATGCACTCAACTGTGAAAATTCTATGAAAATTGTTTATTGTTCAGTGATTGAATTCAATTTGGCGTGCGAAATGCTCACGTCAAAAAAACTCTTTTTTTTTATTTTCCTGAGCAAACAAACGCGAATCAGGCGATCAAAGCGATCTCTCAATGAGATCTCAACGCGAGATCTCCATGTCAAGATCTTGTAAATCATTTTTGTGCAGTTCAAGAGTTCACCGATTATGCACTCAAATGCGAATGTAAATTTGAAGCTATGGGAACAAATTTGGGGCGTTTTCGTAGTGGCAAATTTAGAAAGGAGCCGGCCGGCTCGGGCAGACATATTCTCACATAACAAATATCTATATACTATTTTTGCGAATTGTAGTCTAATTTAAAAGCAGAGAAAGAAACTAAGGAAAATGAGTAATAAATCATACATTAAAATCCGTTGAGGGAATTCAATTTCTAGAAAGGAAGTATGCTTTTTAGGGACTTGGAGAAGTTTAAAATTTTTGGCTTGACACGAAAACTAATGCTAATGCTTATGCTAATGCCAATGCTAATGCTAATGCTAATGATAATGATAATGATAATGATAATGATAATGATAATGCTAATGCTAATGCTAATGCTAATGCTAATGCTAATGCTACTGCTAATGCTAATGATAATGATAATGATAATGATAATGCTAATGCTAATGATATTGCTAATGATAATGCTAATGCTAAAACTAATACTAATACTAATACTTATGCTAATGCAAATGCTAATGATATTGCTAATGATAATGCTAATGCTAAAAAGACCCACTATTTTCTTACTCTCCGAATAGAAAACTACAATTATCAAACCTTTTTAAACTGGACTAACTCAAAAAATTTCATTCCCAACAAATCATACCATTTAATGCATACATCTAGATGAAGCAAAAATGCATTTATATGCTATTTATAGAAATGATTCACCAAGATTAAAACAATTCAAGCTTTCAAATGTGCCGTAAAGTGCAAAGGAACTATATAATAACGATTATTATTGCAGCTGCTGCAACATTTTTATCGAATACAGAAGGCCTTGTTGCTCTCCTGTCAGGTGTTTATGGCCGGCATTTACGTTAATTCTAGCATTTGAAATGGTAAATCTAATTTCGCACTTTATGGCATTTGGTGGGAATGGGCTGTAATTTCGTGTAAAGTTTATTGCCGCCCGTTGCCACATTCCAATTTGGCCGCTTGCTCCAGATATTATGCAATCCGTGGCTGTTGCGCACTTAAGAACATTCTCATTATCGAATTACAATCTGTGGCTGTGTTCGTCTCTAATAGCCAAGTTGTTGGCCAGGTTATTATGCTAGTTCGATTCTCGATTCTCGATTCTGGCTGCCTTTCATCTATTTGGCTTCTGCAATAACTTTCCAACCACGCAACAAGCGGCGGTCGCCGTTGTTGCTGTTGCTGCTGCGGTTTGATTATTATTTTTATTGGTCGACTGTGGCCTGGCGCAGAGCGCATCGACAGCAATTGCCAAGATTGCGTCCTCCTCCAGCAGCAACAGCTGCCTGATCCTCCTCCTCCTCCCCGAACCTCCCTCTCCTCCTCCTCCTGAGCGCTTGCTGCTGGCATTTTGTGTTCATGTTTTATCTGTTGACTGTTTTGCTCCTGTGGCAGAGCTGCATCCACACGAGGAAAATGCGGAAAATTGTTCGTACATTGCCTGCTAAACTGATGCCTTGAAATGGAAAACTTTACGACAGTGCAACGCATAAGCTCTTATCATTTGTTGCATCTCTCAAGGCAACGACAGCGGAGGGGGTTAGGGGGTGCGGGGGCTACAGTAGAGAACTTGAAAGTTGTAGATGTGTGTACTCTTTTTTTTTCTTCGTGCATTTTTGTATTTTTTTTTTCTACTGCAGGCAATTCACTTTTCTATTTATCATGCGAGTGGAAAATGGGAAATTAAAGTTATTGTCTTTGTGAGAGACAAAAAGAAAGCAAAGAATAGAAAACTGGCGCAACGAACTGCAGCTGAAAATGCCTTGGAAAGTGAACTGGAAGAGGAAGCTGCATTGGTTTTAGAAAAAAAAAAACCAGAGCAGAATATTTTGCGAGCTGACGAAAATTAAATACACTTGCAGACAGATCCATATAATCCATATGCCTTATGTTCTCCCGATGTTAGCTAGGTTAAACTTTTTCACCCGGTTCCCGCCCATAAAATTGTGGAATCCGTCCGTACTATTTTGTACTTTACTTCTATTTAAAAATATGTTTAAAATCTATCGAATATAGAAGAATATTGAAGAAGAAAAGTTGGAATCAAAGGTTTGTCTTGTGGTTAGAATTTTGAAGCCAACGTATTTTCGATCATTATGAACTCTTGACCCGCATTCTCCATCCAAGATTATGCTGAAATAATCGTTAAATCTTCCGCATTTTAAAGATATTTTTAATGACCAAAAAGTTTTCTTTAAATTAAATAAGAAACCAAACCTTTTCGATGTTAAGCTGATGTTATTTTGTCAAGTATTCTAAACATTTTGAAAAAAAAATATTTGTTTAATCATGAAGCTTGGTCGAGATATTTTCAAGGAAAAAGATATATTTTATACACACATAGCTTTTGTCTAATTGTTCCATAGACAGATATAAGAACTCAGTAAAATTGTAGAGTATGTTAAGGATGTTTTAAAAAATATAGATAAGATACATTTTAGATAGATACTTTTTATGGCAAGAATATAAAATAGCCTAAATATCGTCTAGGTTAACTCTTAGTTCTTGCTCAAGAGCTTATATACCTAATGAACTCTCTCTGATTCCTTCCTCAATTTGGTTACACAGTATGTGATAGATTTCGTATACCCTGACCAAGTGTATGAAAAATCTCTGCTACTCTCATCAAATGCGCCATAAATGTTGTGCCAAACAATTAGCCAAAGAATCGAACTACTGAATTGGCCAACTCGACTGGCGATTGGCAGCTGTTTCCTGGCCCGCATGCCTTGATTGCCTATGTGGGCGAGTGAAAGCAGCAACAAAAGCAACAAAAAACAATAATCTTGGCCAAAACGATTGAACTTGCAGCAACTGTTGTTGTTGCTTTTCTTTGCCATCAATTAGAGCGGACTTAAAACTGGGCCTGAGACCTGAGACAGAAACTGAGACCTTGCGCTTGAAACTTCAATTAAACGCTGCAAGAAAATCGTGCATAGACAATATTTATCAATCACCATTATTCTAACTGTTTTCGCAAAGAGTTGACTTCAGTTATGTGTTTATAAAGAAGCTGCAACGATTTTGCAAAATAGATACAGGCGAGTGTAACCGACTGCGCCATACACTGTGCATTACACAGCAGTTGAAGAGACTCTCGCTTGTTTATTGGTGACTTTAAAACTTAGTCCACTTTAAACTGCCACGATTCTTAAACCTGACTGCGCCATACTCTGTTCATAGTGCAATTGCGGCTGAATGAAATTGTAAGAAGTTTTCTTGTTTGTTGGTGACTTTAAAACTGTAAGCTCAGATATTTAAAACTGGAAAGAAGCTAAAACTATTTTATAAATAGGTATTTCGTGGTCCATCAAAGCCTTCTTTTTGGTGGCTCTTAGGCTGTAACACAATCAATGAATTTCAAACTGTGACTTAATATTAACACTAATGGGATTGGGTACTGTGAATCCAGTAATTGTAAAACTGTAACTATTAAAAATTGATTTTTTGCAATTTTGATGCTGCTCTGGAAGTGGCCTAATCTGTAAAGAAGAAGGGGGGATTAAACTCTATATATGTAGAATTCCTGGATTTTCCTGCCCCCAGTGGACGTGGCCAACCAATTGTAACCCTTTGTCCAACGGGGATACACTCGAGAACCTTCAAATCTTCAAGGTTCTAGCTTCAATAGCAGCGCTCAATCAGGCAGGCAGACATTACACAAAACCAATATACCCGTTTTCCCCTATTGAACAGGGTATTAAAACCGTAGCTGAACCTAACTTGGCTAAAAACTCATAACAAACGCAAAAGTTCAGTCGGCAGTTCAGTAGAACGCGCGCAGTCAGCCAAGGGGAGGGTTGCGCTGCAGAGTGAAAGGGTAGCGGAGAGAGGGGCGGGGCGGTTGAGGCAGGAAGGTTGCTACCGCGCATCGGTCGGTGCATGCCACAATGAACTCGCAACTTTTAACTGTTTTTCCACGTCGTCGTCTGTGTTTGCGATTTGTGAAAGCTTCTGCTGCTGCTGCTGCGGCTTCTGCTTCTGCTTCTGCTTGCAGCTTCTGGCCGAGGAAAATGAGTTTGCGCTTCGGCTTTTTGAGCCGCTTCTAGTTGCCGCCGCACTGTGGTCGTCACGGCTCACTGCTGGCTGTTGGCTGGCTGCATGCAACAACTTGGCCAACAAAACAGAGTTCTGCAAACAATGCATAAATTGTGCGCGCAAAAAAAAAAGGCCAAAGCGACATTTCAAGCGACCAAACACGAAAGTAGTTCAAACTCTCCCGACGATATGCAAATATAAATGCAAGCGGTTTTTCGTTTGTTTTTCAGCTTTTTTTTTTTTTTGGCCAGAGCTTCTCTGGCTCCCCTGCCTGCGCTTGCCTAATTAAAGCTACAGAGATGCCCGCTGTGCGGACATATTGGCCAAGAAAATATGCCTAATAAATAGCTGAAATGAACCCACAAAGATTTGATCGAAAAATGTCCAAAGTTCAGGCAAAGGTCAGCCGAGACGCATTTTAAGCTTTATTTTGTTACTCTTTTAAGATTTGAACTATAATATTTTGTTTATGTGCTCATTTTAATCTTCTCTTTCTCTGTTAATTTTCAGGTAAGCAAAATGTGTGGCACAAAATCAACTTTTACCCACAGCTGATGTTTGCGTTTACTCGTATTTTATTGCCACGTAAGTAGCACGATCATAAATCAGAGGCAACATCTGCACAGACGGAAGTGAGTGGGGAGAGGGGGCAGCCGCACTGTGGGTTGGGGGCAGCCACGGTATATGAAGCAGACGCGCAGCTATGAAAAACAAAAAAAAAGGTCGGTTTGATGATGTCAATGTTATGCAAAAAACCCTTCAAATGTTAGTCATGGACAGAGCAAGATTGAGGGGAATTGAAACAGAAAAACAAACCAAAATAACTAGCGCAAAATGACTCAAGAAGAAGACATTTTAAAACAGAATTGGATTATAATGAAATATTAATCAATGTCAAGGCCACAAACGTGAAGAAAACTACAAAAAATTCGGATCAAGAATAATAGATATGAAACTTGTAAGGAGTAGTATGTTATTTTATACATTGTACATGTATCTAATATTTATTTAATTTATATTAAAACCGCACGCATTCGCTGAAGCCAATGTTAATCGATATATAAAATTCAGATCTTTCTACTTTTTTTTATTTAATTGCCAGATTGTTATCGATAGTTTTTCTAGAAAAGTTCTTTACTGCAAAACACAGCTTTCATTTTCTACGGCTACTCACGAATTTTTTGAAGACTTTATATAATATATCCTCAGATCTATCTCTTATTTATAGCTTGATTGTTATCGATAGTTTTCCTAGAGTAGTTCTATAGAATACGGCTCTGTCATAAAACACAGAGCTCCTTACTTCCCTTTATGTATTTAAAAATCCTTTTTCTAGAAAAGTTCTCCACTCCAAAACACATTAAAAACTCGTGCACTTTTTGAAGACTATATAATATTTCCTCAGCTCTGTTTCTTATTTATTTGCCTGATTTTTATCGATAGTTTTCCTAGAAAAGTTCTATCAAATATTGTTTTTGGCCAAACTGAAATGCTCTTATTATCTATCATTGCCTTTCTATTAAAATTTGAAAAAAAGTATATTCTAGAATATGGTGTAGAAGAAATTTGCTTTTTAATTAAGTCCCCCTCTTAGATCTTTCCATTCCATATTATATATTGATATATATCGATATCACTAGCAGTAATCGACATATTCTACCGATTCAAAACGGAACAAATAATAAAAACTTACCAAGAAAAATGTCAAAATCTGAAGAAAACAAAAAAAAAGGTAAAGGAATAGTTTCTAAAATTCGAATCGGCGTCTAGTTTCCCATAAATTTTGCCTTTCCATTCCCTATTTATGGGCATTATTTTAATCGATCGTTTTCTCAGGCCCAAATACTCTTCATTTCTTTTGGCCCATTCACATGCCACGCCCAGCTCATTCGAGTTTAAAAGATCTGCTTAACGCCGTAAACAATCTGTTGCGCAGCTTTGACAAATGCCCAAAGATTCATCAAAGTTTTATGAGTTTTCCCTTTTCTTGCGGCGCATCAAGCCCTGACTTTATGGCGGCAAATTTGCCATAAACCTTTTTTTTTTTTTTTTTCGAAATAATTTTACGCATTTTTCGAATAAATTAATTTGCTGTTTGGTGCCTCTGTCAGCTTTCAATGGCTATCGAATTTTGTGCAATGTTTTACAATATAAATAATTGGGCTTGTTATGAAATTTACATAAATTTGTTTATGGGTAGGAGGAGGCGGAGGAGGTGGAGGGGGGAGTTAGGTGGTTCTACATGGGGGCTACGCGTTGTTGTTGTAGGCCCTGTCGGTGCGTATCTTCCAAAGTTGTTTTGACAGCCGCGACCCGTTCTCGATTTTCTTAGTGTGCGATCATTTGTCAAATCTTATGTTTTTTTTTCGGCCTTTTTCTCTCTCGAGATTGTCTTCTCATTTTGCCTTGGCTATCACCGCCCGCGGCTAGCCCGAATTTTTTGAGGTCCAATTTCATTTTGAAAATGGCTTGTGAAAATTAATCAAAATGTAAAAGATAAAAAAATTGGCCTGGCCCTTGCATAATATTAGTTTGAATTTCTTTTGTTTATATGATTAATTTGCAAAGATAATATGCGAGACTGGCATTAAAACTTCATTAGTAAAATGCGTTCGCTGAAGGTGTGCGGATTATGCAAAATCAACTCCAATAAAGATAATTAAATGCGTTGAAGGTGGCATTCAGACTATGCAAATTGAACCCAAGGAGATAGTGCCACAGATACGAGAATAGAGCAAAATGAATACGGCTTTAATAGATGGGCACAAAAGAAGAAAACAACAAATATTTGCACACACAAATTTAAATACATTAATATCTTCATTATATGGAAACTCAAGAAAGAAATTGGAATTATCCAGAAAATAAATGAGTAAAGTTAATGAGTAGCAGAATTTACAATTCATTGGATGCATTTCAAAATTTGGTGACATTTTTTCTTTCAGTTTTTTAAGACTTTTATTATAGCCCTTTTTAGAAACTGATCCAATAACAAACTCAATTTTTAAACAAGTATCTGAAACCCGGCACTGCAAACATTTTCATTTGATTTTTTATTTAATTCTGCGAAGTAAATTGAAGCTTCACAATGTGAGCCTGGAGGTATTATTCGTGAATAATTAAAAGTCATTTTCTCTTATGATATCTCTTCATTAAGCTTTCCATTCAATATTCACAAGATATATTTGTATAATCCAGCGCCTGGTTTGACTTTATGGACATGTTAAGAACATTTTACATTCCACCCAACACTAACGGACTGTTTAGCACCTTTTGAACTGCTGCGCTCTAAAGTCATAGACCCTATGCCAGAAATCCCTGAGAATGAAATGTTCGCCTGCTCGATGTTCTCCTATCTGCCAGGCATTTCCTATACAAATGTTAATGCGCGAAATTCCAGGCGAACAATACAATAACAGCCACAATTTAACACCCACACACGAGCAAAAGGTACAGATACATATGCATAGATACAGATACAATGTAGCGTGCAATTAACAGGCGACTTCCTCTCTGCCTGGCTGCAACAAAGCCAGAATCGCCAGGCAACAAGTGTCCAATAGACAACCAAAAAGTTGCGCAACAAATGTTGCTAAGCGACATGCTGCTAAGCGAGAACATGCTGCAGCAGCTTTTGTGCGCGCTCGAACATGTATGAAGCGAGTTGCAACTCTGACTCCGAGCTGCAACTCGCACGGCGAACGGTATGTGCCTGTGCGCGTCTGTGTTTGTGTGTGTATCTGACGGATACGCGAACGCGCAGATAAACGCGCCCGGCCATAAGCAAAATGTATCTGCGCAGTGAGCGTCGGCCTCAGTAACACGCGAGCGCTACTCAAATGCAAACGTCGCCACGGACATCGAATGTCTGAATTAAACGCATGAAAAACGCGCGCGCGTTTCGCTGCATTTTTGAATAACAAAATTTTTCATATTTTCCATTTAAAATATAACCAAGTTATTTGTGAAATGTGAAAACTTGGAAAGCATTTAATCGCATTTTCCGCATGTAAATAAATATTGCAAAATTATAAATAAAAATAAAATATATATATATATATATATATATATGTATTGAGAACTGCAGCAAATAAAAGTGAAGTTCAAACTGAATAAGAACGAAACGCCAGCATAAAAATTCCCTAGAAACATATACAGACACACACGCACACACACAGATACGCTCGCACACGCCGGGGCAACTGTAGAAAAAGTGCATAACTACGTATATATAGAAAGAAAGAGAGAAGTTCAGGCGGCATTTTGCTGTTTGCCTGCACGAGTGTGTGTACTCATTTATGTGTGCAAGTGTTTGTTCTTACCCCCAACTCCGTGTTGTGGTATGTGTGTGTGAGTTTGTTTGCGAACCCGAGAACCAGAGAACGTGTAGCTGTATCTGTATCTGTGTATCTGTGAGCCGCTTGCAGCTGTATCCGTAGCTGTGTTGTTGTTGTTGTCATCATCGTCGGTTCTGTGTGCGTGCGCAAAACACTCGGACTCGGACCCGAAACACACTAAAATACAAACTCAAACTGAAACTAAAAACAAAATACAAAAAAAAAAAGGTAAACTACCTACTTTGCCTGCCTTTGCGAAGCAGCCGCAAAAGTGTACGAAAAACATACCGAAAACTCATAAAATACATACATACATATATAATACTACAACAACAAGGACCATATACCATATATATATCAAGTATATATACTTGAGCTATATATACCCAGCGCCAGATTTCTTGAATCAAAGCGCTCTGATTTACTGCCTCTTCTTTTTGGGCACTTCCTCTTCATCGGCATCTTCATCTGCAGCTTCCTTCGCCTGCATTCATACAAAAAACAAAACAAAAAATATCACAAAAACCTTAAGTTGAGCGCGCGTTCACATCTTGTGGATACTTTTTTCTGTTGTTGTTATTGTTGTTTTTGTGTCTTTGTCGATTACTCAACCGAATTGGATTTAAGCGACATCAACGCAAATCTTCTCCAACACGCCTGGTATGTCTTATGACTTATTATCATTATTATTTTCACAGTGTTCACTCGCTAATTGGAACTTGTTTTCAAAATGTTTTTAATTTGCCAAGAGTTGCCTTTTTGTGCTAAAGCAAATATAAATGTATGCAAAGTGTGTTTATACTTTATTTATATTTACTTTTATTAACATATGACAAATTTTGTTTGACTAATTACTAAAAAAATATTTTTGTTAAGTTTCACTTAGCGAGTGGCTACTGTTTTAGAAATATATTTAATATTCATTGTGCTTAATTTTTGAGCATTTAGCAGTCTTTTTTCTTCATTATGAAAAGGGAAATATAAAAAACGAGGCACATTTTTTGCATGTGTTCTTTTTTTTCTTTTCTTCACGCTTTCGTTTCTTTTTTTGGTTAGTTGAGTTTTTGATATATGAAAATTATTTTTTATTTGCTAATAACTCGATTCGTGAGTGTTCTATATGTAGAGTACGTCTGTCGCGAACCAAATATACATATATAGTCGTAGATATGTGAAAAGTCGTGTGTGTCGCGCTCTTAATTATAAAAGTGACAAAAAGCGCACGAGCACATATATACATATATATACATATATATATGTATCTGTATCTTTAGCTTGGGCAAACCGGCAATTTAGGCAACAAAAAGTATTGCTGTTTCTTTTTTTTTTTAGCCCCGACAGCAAAAAGACCACAGCGCAGAACCTCAGTTAATTTATAGTTCCTTTTGCTTATGTTGATCTGACATTTTTGTCATTTTCTTGAGCAATTGATGTATCTGCGAATGTGGCATCTGTCATTATCTTTCATCTGAAGCATTTTTGTTGAACATGCAAATAAAAAAGAACAACTATTAAGTTGCCTGCTGCTTTTAATTACAACTTCAACCAGCTGCCTTGCAGCTCAACTTAAAGTTAATTAAAGTAAATCCCAAGTTTAAAATCCCTGAACAGAAAAAACTTAAGCTATAATTCACTCACATATGCTTCAATAATTGATTTTTATTTGTATTTTTTGTAGTGCGATAAACGTTTTTGTGACCCTCGAAAGTCCTTAGCTTTGGCCAACCCCAAGT